TATATATGAAATATATATATATATAAAATTTAATCTAATCAAAAGAAATTATGTCTGGGTGTTCCCTTGTTAGATTCACAAAAGTTTACGAAATTAATAATATGCACTAAATATTTATTAATGTAAAATTAATATAAAAAGAAAATTATATAAGTAATGCTTTATTATATAGGGTGGATTTGAAAACATGGAACTAGCAAAAGCATACTTCTGTCAAGCTGCGAAATTAAATCCAAATAATATTAGAGCTTTATATGGCTTGTTATTAGTAAGTTCCATTATTATATGCTATAATTAATAATATATAGCAATTATGACTGGTATTTATATTCTTGCAAATATATAATTTCAGACAACAAATAATATTGCAACATCGCCTAAATGTCCTTCGTCCAAGAAGAAGGAAGCAATGAAACTGAGTGAATGGGCTAGTAGACAAATTGAGAAACAATATGAAAGTAAAGTTTCAAATGAGAACGTTAAAAACGTAGAACGTTTACTAGGACAATTACAACTTGAAGCTTAGGTATTACGTTATGTAATTATTCTTGTATTTATTTTAATTTTGTGAAAGACATATATAAGCGATATATGTTTAAAGACATTGCAATAACGATTTCCGAAGAATCTACTGAAAAAATTTTAGACACGTTTTTTATCTCTGTGTAGTAAACAGAATCTGATTAGGACAGTTGAACAGTATTTTCTAATTATATTCATTATATTCGTTACATAATATAAGTACATCATGCTCTAGGTAATTTTGTCTTGTTCCAGGTAATTTTGCCAATATCCATGTACAATTGTATATGTTGATATATTTAATTAATCTATTAATACTATTGTCAAATTTTAAGTGCACTATACGTAATTATCTTCTGAATATATACATTCGTATTTCTGTATCTTATTATTATACATATGTATATGTTATTAAGTAAATGTTAAAATTATTAATTTAGTGGTCACTCTTTGTAATTCATTTAATATCATCGTTATTTCATTGTTATTTAAGTATCGGTATATATTACATATTAATGTAATAAAAAACTGCATTGGATGGATAGGATATCATGTGTGCAAAAAATATTTATTTCTATATCATTGCAATAGTTAGCTTTGTTTTTATATCAACTTTTACAACTATTCTGTGCATAATAAACAGAATTGCAAAATTAGATATAACCACATTTTGATAAATAATTATATATCTTTTCGCAATGAGAAGAAGATATATAAAATTGAAAGAAAAAATGTAGAGATGAAGAGAGAATGTACCTTTATATAATACTACTTAAGACTGATCTACAGTCATCTTTCAGTAACTTCTTTGTTACTACGTTCCCACTCCTCTCGTCTCTTTGCTCTTTCTGCAGCTCTTCTCATTCGTTTTTCTTTCCTCGTTTCCTCACGTAATGCAAAATATTTCTCACGAAAATCAGTAAAATTCATAATAATGCTTTCGTCGGTTGCCTGTCATAAAATGTTAAAAAATCTTGATATGTAATTTAATCATATCAAAACGCAAGATACCAGAAAACGAAAATATTTAATTTTTAAAAGAAATTGTTCCTAAATTGTATTTAAAATCTAACATTTTAGTTTATTATAAGATCTATTGTTTGTTCTTACAGAGACTACAGTTGAAGCTCTCTTTTTTGCTATTGTTAAATATCAAACATGTATACTATGTTATAGTATATATGTTTGATATATATGTTTGACATACCTATCTTACTTTAAGTTTCAAAAATGTATACTAGTTTAGTGATAGAAAACAGATCTTATATTAAACTCTTATTTAACAAGAAATACAATCAGTTGACTTCCTCCAATTTTAATAAACTTTAGATATGTTAAATTATAGAGATACGTTTTTTTATATGCGCTGAGTCACATGCTAAGAAGATGAAAATCTCCCTTGAAAAAAAAAGAAAAAAATTTCCTTTTTTTTTTTAGATGAATATTGTCGAAACTATGAAATAAAAAAATGTTTTAAATAAAAGTTGAATAATTTCATACAAGAGTATTTTATAATTATAATTTTTAAAAATTCTTAAATTTTTTAAAATTATTATAAAGTACTCTTGACACTATTCAACTTTTATTAAAAATTTTTTTTCTATTTTAATCTATCACATTTTGACAATATTCACTTTAAAAGAAAACAAATCAATTTTTTTCAAGAGAATTTTCATCTTAACATGCAACTCGGTACAAAAAACGTATTATCTTATTTTTATGTTCCTTTTTATATTTTAACTTCTATCCAAAGCTTTTTAAAATTGCAAAGGGTCAATTGATTGCGATTCTTTATAAAATTTACTAGATGTGATACAAAACTAAAAATTTATAAAATTTTGTTAAATCTTTATATACCTGAGGTTCTTTAATTTTCTTGTAAGTTAATAATCTTCTACTAGTATAGTTGCTCAATATTTGTTCTGAATTGGCTACTAATTCTAAACAAGAATGTGCTGGTAATTGATCTTCCATGTACTGATCTCTAAATCACAAATTTGATATGTATCTACTAATCAGTAAATAATTAGTAAATGTTCAATAATTTTTAATGCTGCAACATTTTTTTGCACATGCATAAATATTAATTAAATAAAAAAAAAGGTATATATATACCTAAACAACGGATACCAACAGACTAGTCTGCCGTGAAGTCTTAGGTGTTTCGCGGAGAAACACAACAGGTCTTTATATATTTGATTCAGACCGTAAACAATTTTTGAAGGAATATGAGAGGTTGCTTGATGTTCCTCTATTACCGGATTTATCTTCATAGTGCCTATACGTTCTGTAGCTTCCCTTATACCGTAAGGTGCTGCAAAAGAGGTATTTTTCTGATATTAAATTCATATTATAAAATGTAATTTATTTTATTCGTAAATTTTAAAGAATTTCTGTAATTTACATTTGAAGATTTTATGTACTATATTTATACTTACGGTCTGTTATAATAGCATCTATTCGTAAATCTGTCCGCCACAATGGATATGAAAAATCTGCCACCACAACATCGAGATAATAGGAACTCATTCCATATTGATGCATGTTTGCTGCGATGCTCTCGTCTTTTTCCCTTGTCTGACACATTTAATATGAAAATTTTTCAATTATTTTATGTCTTCTCTTTTGTGTATTAAACTGATATTATGCATGATAAAAAAATAATAATTGAGCTCTTGTTAACGATACCTTTTGCGATATTCGTGTAGGTCTCGTACGGCCGTGAAGCATTAAAAAATCGATATCTGTTCCAAATGTATATCCTCCATATTGAGATGCAGCAATTAACAAGGATCCTGTTCCCACAAATGGATCAAAAACTAAGTCTCCATTTCTAATTTGTGCTTGATTTGCCATTATGAGCGACAATTGGGGATCCATTGAGGTATTTCCTATAAATTTCCTAGTTTTTAATGATAACTTTTGAATTAACTCTCGCTGACCATCGGCAATCTATAATAAAATGATATTACAACCTATAAATAATAATTAACATATAATCACAATACTCACCCATTTTCCAAAGAAATATTCATGGGGTTCTTCTGGAATGTCGTTGGGATTACGTCCATAATATTCTATATAGAATAAAGTGATATCTGGGTTTTTCAATTTAACTGGACCTTCTAGAGGTAAATAACTGAAAGACTTCATTCAATATTGCATTAATTTAATTGTATTACATTAATTTCCAAATAGATTATTAAATAATGATTATATATTTAGCAGTTATATATATTTTAAAGTGTTTTAAGATTCTCTCTCTCTCTCTCTCTCTCTCTCTCTCTCTCTCTCTCTCTCTCTCTCTCT